TCACACAACAGAGCTTCTGTACAGCTTCTGGTACTCCTTCGTGATCTAACACCTTGATGCTCACAAGGGTTTGCTGAAATGCAGAATCTATGACAAAGTTGCATCTTTGGCCATCCAGCTTCCCTGTCACGTAGATACTATGTGTGCTTACCATTTTACACTTAGCTGTTGGAACTTTCACGATGGAGGTTGGTGGGCGTCCTTCAGCACCAACCACTACTGGTTTCCCGAAGCTGACTTATTGGTGGTATTTTTCTTACACTGGCTCTTCAGCTGTCCTTGCTTCCCACAGTTCCAACAGTCTTTCTGGGTAGCAGCCTTTACTGCTGTATCATCTCCCCTGTGTTGAAGTTTCCAGCATTGAGCTCTCTTGTGCCCAGGTTTGTTACAGTGCCAGCAAAGTCCCTCAAACTTCTCTGAAAGCTGACCTTTTCTGGCCTTGAATCCAGATAACTGTACCAACCTTGGTGCCTCTGTGCTGGACTTAACGTAGGATTCAAATTCGAGAGCTCTGGCCATTGCTTCCTGCATGGTAGAGGGGTGTGCTTGCTTCACTTGTATCTTAAGTTGTGGACTGTCCAAGGCATCTACGAACTGATCCCTCAGCAACAACTTGAGGAGATCGGGTGGTGCAGTTGGGTAGGCCTTGTGTGCCATGCTTTCCAAGTCCTGTGCCAGCTTTTGCAGGCTGTCCCCTTTAGCACGGATTCTCGTCCTAAACCTAGCCCTGTAGACTTCTGACTGACTTTGGGTTCCGTACCTGAGTTCTAAAGCCGCTACCAGTGCTCTATAGTTGTGTCTGTCGTCTGCTGACAACTGTCCAAGTATTTCCAGTGGTTGTCCTTTCAAGCTCATTGCCAGATATACTGCTTTCTGCTCCTCTGACCATCCGTTCATCTCTGCCAGTAGCTCAAACTGTGCTTTATATGCTTCTCACGGTGCTTTCCCATCGTATTCCTGTGGCTTCCTTCATACTGGATCATTCCTAGTACTGACATTCATATCTGGGATGTGACTTCTAACGGGACTGAATATGGGTTTAGCTGCGGGGTCTGAAAAGGACTTGCCATTGTCTGGGGCTGCTTAAGTCGATGGTTAATGTATCCTCCTTGTGTAAAAGACAATAGATCATCATTTAATGTATCTAATTCGCTTTTAAATTTACTAATGTTTTCCATTTGTACTTCTTGCCACTGTTGTTGACTTTCCTGTAGTTGCTGCTGACTTTCTTCCTGTTTCCTTTCTTGTTCTAGTTGCCACTGCTGTTATCTCTCTTCTTGTTTGTTTTATTTCTCCTCCAACAACT